GAGAGAGAGAGAGAGAGAAGGGGGGTAGGGAGAGGGAGAGCGATTTCAAGATGATTTTATTGATCTGAAAGGCCTTTGGCCCATCATGCATCCAGGCATTACAACGTATTGTTCGGCAAATACAGGGTGATCAAAACAAAACAATCTCCACCTTTTTCTGAATATCTCGCGCAAAAATTGTTCTAGAATGCTGTAATTTGGAACAGACAAAATTCTTTCGAAAGGAATTTGTTTGGCATAAAATCCAAGAAGAAACTTTTGAAAACGGAAACTGCTTAAAGAAAAAGCACCCAAAACGCAAAGTTCACCAATTTTTAAAAAATATTGTAAAGGAAGTCGTGAAAGATTGCTGGACTTTTTTTCCTTTATTTTCTCTTTGACATTTAATTTTCCATCCCTGTGACATTTAAACAATATTTAATTTCTTTCACAAAGTTAAAAATAGCCTAATGATTTCATTCTGAACTTCCTAGAAGCAGTGCTCCACATTCCTTCCTTTGGACTCTCCACATTTTTAACGCGTCGTTCGAAATGTTCAATTGCGCCCAAACACAAGGACCTGCTAAACAATGGCGGTGGGTAGTGAAGGGCTCACGGGCTTCAGCCCTCCTCCCAACCCCACCACCAACTCCATCCCTAAGGAAATGAAAATACGTGTAACAAAATAAGCAGTTTGAAACCGTTATGATCGCAAGCAATGAACACAAAGTAATCATCTTGGCGGCTTGCTCGTTTATCCAATCAATGTTGTCACCGATTACAACTATAGTAACCTAACAGCCAATCAAATGTCTTTAGGGCTCAGAAAAGACAAGCCGGTTCCCACGCTTCCTCCGTAATGAAACTACTCTTGTAAAAAGGTAGAAGACTTGGAAAAAATAACACTGCACTGAGGGCTCACGCTCTCCCAGCCCTGATAATGGGATGAAAGTTTACCACACACTTTCCCCCAGTGACACAGTTACCTATGCGTTCATTGTACCTTTGTTGTGCGTTGCACTTTCCGCGACTACTACACGGCCTACTCCAGCTAATAGACGGTATATGTTTGGAGTACTTTGTGTGCATGTTTGTGTGTGTGCCGCTGAGATTTAACAGTCATTAATTACGTCAAACCACTTTTGAGGCAACTTTTTTTATTAGATGAACATTAATTAGAGAAATTTGGAGGCTTTGTCCCCAACATCCAAAAGAATTTAAACAAAGAGATGGAAGATAACGGTGACTCGCCTCGCTTGAATGCTTCTCAAAATGCTGTGGCTCGCCGTGAGTATAGAAAAATTATCACTGTTTTATTCTTATTGCTTGCTATTTGGTGGTGAGGAAGTGGAAGCAACCTAAGCCCAACCCAAATTTGGGTCCACCCACCTCCACTGCTGCTAAACCGTGAGTGTTTAAAGCCACATACACTGTACATATTCACTATGAAGTGGCTTCTAGAGACAATAAAGTGGGATGCCCAATAGACAGCATTTTTGGAGTTAACATATCCCGCAGGGTGAAAATGGGCTTTACCCTAAACCAAATGTCATCGAGGAAATTATCCCTCTTTTCAAGATCATCAAGGAATCATGAACACTTTGCCATGCCCTGAACCATGTCATCTCGGCCTAACGAAGATGAAAATGGTACAGTTGTAGATTAAGATCTGCCATGAGGATGCAGACTGTTGAGGTGTAGGAAAGTCATAGCTGCAGATCGTCTACGGACAGACGTCTCATGGGATTCGACTTCTGAAATCTGTACCCTGGTGAAGTTTAAAGGATTGTGCATGGTGTGTGTTCAACCTGAAGTGGTCATTTTTAAAGGTTAGATTTTTAGTTCTGATTCGCTATAGATCCAAACTGACCGAACTTCTGTATTCATGACGCCAAAGGTCTTGAGGGCGCCTGAGCAATCTATCCATTCCGCGCGCAGAACTTACGAGATGTCGTCATGGATGGTGAGTTTGTGAAGAGGTTATGTTCAATACAAAAAGCTCTCTGCTCTCTACTTAACGTAACCATGATCTCAGCAGGCAAACGAAATTTTGGAAAAATAATATCTGTAGACTACTGTTGACTTGTTAGACCTTTGTAGCTTGCAACATGGCGCGATTGTTGCAACTTTTAGTGGTAGGCCTTATGCGAACTGGTGCGTCATGCTATGAAAATGGCGACAAGGTTGGAAATAGGTTGATTTTTTAATGTGCCATGTAGAGCTAAACCATTCTACGCACTTATCTAAAATGCATATCAGACAAATTCCTTTTGGCTTTCAATTGTATGTTCAAATCTGAACAGCAAAATTTTAGTATAGATGAAGATAATGATATTTACAAAACAAGTTGTACAGTTTTTGTTGTTGTTGGGGTTTTTTTTGGATCACCCTGTACATAAAAGTTGGTACAGCACATCGAGAGGGAGAGAGAGAGTGAGAGAGAGAGAGAGAGAGAGAGGGGAGAGAGAGAGAGAGAGAGGGGGAGGGGGGGGGGGAGTGGCCTGGCTTGCCCACTGTATCTTGCCTAAAGTGGAACGTTTTTTTCTTATGAAATCAAAGCCTTGTCATAAATGTAATTGGAATATTTAGAAGACAGGGTACTTCAAGATTCTGGCAGGACGGTTGTAACTTGAAGAAGAAAGGCATTCAAGGAAGAGCAAAAGGAAAGTTGGGTTCCTCTTGGGACCATACTTCGGATTTTCTTGTGTTTTGAAAATTCTTCACCAATTTGATTAAGACAAAGGAGCTCCCATAGTGGCATCAGCGATCGTGAAAGGAATGAAAGACATTTAAAGTTTGTTCGTTTGAGTGAAAAGTAAAATATCGACGCTTACAATAACTTATAACATTCATTTAGTGCAGGGAAGTGAGTGGTTGGCGGGTGGTCTGGTGTAGTTTGCCCCTTCTTTCTTGTAAAACATCTATCGTCCATGTTTCCTCTCCTTCTTTTTTGTGTTTGCTATCTTGCAACATCTCTAATCTTCGGCACTTAAATGACCTAAAGAAGTGCGTGACACTCTTACGAAAACTTAAATTGAAGGAAAAGACGGAGAAGAACTACGGAAGAAAAAAAGAAGTACGGCCTACCTGTTGCGCCCTCCAACCACCCCTAGACCCAAGGAGAATATGACTATGAGAAATATTTACTTATTGCAAACTGTCAGGTCTGTATTTTACACTAACACCCCTCCCCCCCCCCTTCTTTTTCTCTTAAAATTGAGACGGGGGAGGGTGGGTTCTCATTTCTATTTTCTTCTAGTTTCTACCTTCTCTTCTTACCACTTTTCAGAAAAGAGAGCACACTATGACCACTACTTTTCCTATTGATGGAGTCCAGAGACCAATTTAATCATAGCGCAATTCACTTGTTCACATTTTCAGTCTTTGGCTGCTCTTCTGAACGATGTTGTGCGCGGATGACGAAGATGCATCCCTCAAGACACCACCCGTCAGACCCAATGACGTTATCGACATAGAAGTGTCCCCCTGTGGCAACTTCCTGCCTGTCGTGTGCAGCAACAGTGGGTCGGACCAGCGCAAACACTGCCAGGGCTGTCTGCCGGGGAAGACCAAGAAAGCCAAGGGAAAGGCCAAGTTACCGACCTGTCTTTCTCGAGCCAAAAAACGGCAAACAGATCCCATGAGCAGAGGAGACCCTTTCCTTCCGTCGGTCATTTCCGACGAGAGCCCCTTCGCTGACTACCCAGTGAAGAACTCCCGTAAGAAGCCGTCCGACTGCAAGTGTAAAGGGTCTGGGTATAACCTCAGCCCCAGCGCGCTGCTACCAGAGGAGATGCGCCAGCAGTGGGGTGCGGGTGTCTTTGGGAAGCCCACCACACCCAGTGGCATCAGCCGAAGTGCCATGAGTCCAGGAGCTCAGCCCGTCTGTTCTTCTATTGTCCCGTGCAACAGCGCGGAAGTCGACAACACCAGTATTGTCCAGCAGTACGCCAGCGCGGGCAAATGCGATCCAAGCCCCAACCCGACCCCAACCCCCACGCCAGTCTTGTCCCCAGTTGCCCCTGCTGTGAGAATGTCTTCGGACATGGCCAATAATAAATGCCAGTTCTGCTTCCAGAATAATAGTTTGTGCACGTGCTTTGATTTTTCTCACCAGGGATTTCGTATGCCAACTAAAAACGACGGGAGGAAGGTGAAAATAGGTCTGAGGACGACACTTGGCAAGAACAAGGACATTGGGATTTCAGTGCCCCTCAGTGGCAAAACTGCCTCCCCTGCGATGAAACGAATCCCTTGCTATTCCTGCAAGGAGCACAGCAACATTATCAGCACCAGTAACTTCAACAAGAACGGCACGTCATCGTCCTTGGCATTAGAGCGCAGCTACATATCACCGTCCTTTGATAGTGGGTACTTCAAGGCAGGGTTTTCGTGTGGTCGAGGACCAAACCGCGCAAGAAACAGTTTCAGCGGTATGAGTCTGAGTAAAGCGTACACTTCTAGCAGTGGTGATTTTCCAGGTATGACAAAAGCGACATTTACTCCAAAAGTCCGCAATCGCCAACTAGCCAGACCTCCACATCGGATGCTAAGCAACATCTCAGCGCCCTCGTTGATGCCAGGAGAAGATCTCACTTCCACCCCCGGCATGTACAAAAGAAGCAGCAAGACTTTACCCCGTTCTGGCGGTTCTCAGATGCTCGTCCTGGGTAACAGTAGCCACGGCTGCTCCTGTGACACCTGCAGGCGAGTGCCGAGCTTCATGTCCAGACTGGATTCCTCCCTGGACTACCCGCCCTCCCACAGCCAGCAGATGGTGCCACCAGTCTTGATGTCTTCTTCCTCCTCCCAGAAATACAAACCCGCCGTTGCGTCATCCTCTGTTTCTCTCTCCTCGCAGAAGCGATACCATCCCTACAGCACTGGTCCTTACGCCTACTCCCAGAGCAGCTCTAGATCTCTCTACCAGTCACCTGACATGCATTCGTGTCCGAGCCCGCCCTACGAATATGAGAGTCATCGTTTCCCGGCCTCTCAATTGTCCAGCAGTACTCCACTCTCATTGGCTCAGGATATGAGTGCGTTCGAGGCCTCCTTCTCTTACCTAGACAATGACGTGTTCTCTTCCCCCGCAAACTCCCCTGGCGAGGTCAAGGACATATTAGACCTCTCCATAAAGGACACGGTTGAGTTTTTTGTCAGCATGAAGTCACCCTTCGTCTCCTCCTCGCCTTCCCCGATGCCCAGGTCGGCGAACGAGTCCATCCCTCCTATGTACAGCTCCTCACTTACACAAGAAGATGAGTCTCTATCGCCAGGGCAGCCCGTGGGACTGTCGTCTTGCTTCTGCTCGTTCTCTAACTGCCCGGGTTCCTTTCAGGCCCCTCCACCCCAACCTGTAGAGATGAGCTTCACGGAGCAGCCGCAACCACCACCACCACAACCCCACAGGCCCAGCCGACGTCCCCACAGCTATCCCATGGGTCGCAGTAGGTCCCACCCGTCACAGTCGGTGTCCCTGCTCTACTCGTCTCTCGTCTCGGATCTGGAAGATGAACTGAGAAGTGCCATTGAAAACATACCAACAGACTGAGACGAAGACACAGCGATCGTGTCGGTTCAAGGACCAGGCGAGGTGTCCGTAAATGACAGGACCGTGGCTCGTCAAAAAGGTTTGACGCTTTCTGCAGCTTGTATCCAGATTGGCCAACAGCTTGGGGCACTGTTGCGACAAAGAAAGCAAATAAGCCTTACGGGGTACACAGGGGAACCTCTTGTGTTCTTCCGAGCCCTAACAGTACGAAACGCGATGTTTTTGGCGCATTCCAGAGATGTGGGGGAAATGTCAAGAACAATAATGTCTTGATGAAGGAAACACTGAAATATTAGTTTTTGTGTTCAAATTTCAAATGTTCTTATGCCTGTCTATAATTTAGCACTCTCTTCCCTCGGATTTCTCATGTCAACATGTATTACAAATGTTTCTTATACATCCATGTCTTGAATGTGAATCCACGGGGCTTTCATGTGAATAGCAAATATCCAAAATCAATGTTAAGTCTTTCTTTAAAAAAAAACCCAAAACAACTTGCATAACAGGCCAGTTTTCGTTCGTCCCTGTTGTAAACATGTACAATATTATTAGCCATTAGATGGCTCTACGCGATTGCAGTCTCATACATTTCCCCCCCTGATATTTTCATTATTATTTTATTCAAGTATATTGGTTCACATATATTAATAAGTGGTCCATCCTGCCAATGGTGCTGGCCGTTACTTTCGTGGGTTTGCTTTTTCATTTGCATCATTGTTTGATTGTGTAACTGACCACTTATTGGGAAAGGAAGTTTTTCCTTTCTAATAATAGTATGGAACGTGTCAAAGTTTATCCCCCCCCCCCACCCCCACAATAATGCCACCATTAGCCATAAACGGATGATTATTAAGGAACGTTTCTCCAGTATTCTAGCACCCAGTCTCTTTTGAAAAGAGTTTGGAATTGGCACAGTTGTTTCAAAAGATGCTGTGATTGTTATGCTGATTGTTTTAGCCCTCTGTGATAACCCAACATAAAATGAATTTGCATAAACCAGACGAGATACGGGATGTATGTATTTGTAAAGTATTCCTACAATTGCAATGTCTTATACTTTACCACAAACTGCTGTTTGTGTTGATAATAGAATATTTCTTTCTATGACGACAGTCACTTGTGCATATAAAAAGTTGTGAGTGTAAGTATGCGCATGTCAGAAAATGAGTGAAAGAGAAAGGCAGAGGGAAGGAAAGAAGAAAGGTAAAAGAGAGAATGCCTTAGAGCTTCTCTGAAGCACTTGTGATTTTCAGAGAAGTAGATAGCACATTTTGTGTCAGTTTCTTGTATTGGTTTGATCTTGTATTTTCTAACAGTACGTTGTCGCTGTTGATGATGACTAAAAGAAAAATTGCTGAACAGATTTGTTAAAAAACCATAGACAATAGAGCAAGCAAGAACGGTGCAATCACGAAACTATTGAGTGTTGTTTCTGACTCTAGTTAGAATAAAACAATTCTTTAATAGCAATTTTGTTCATTTGTTTCAATTCCTGTAAAAATAGCCAATCACAGAATAACGTCCAGTTATTGATATTATATCATTATTGCACAGCGAAATAGATATACTGTCACACTGCAGAAAATGATCATAGCACTCGATAGTCCTATAGTATTGTATCACAAGGGTTTATAATACCCTTTCCAACACTTAAGTTACCCAGGAAGAAGGGTCCCCTGTTTTAATATCAACCTTTAATGAAACAACCATAAGAACTCTAGTAGGCTACCTGCACCACAGCACAGCATGATGCCAGCTGAGTTAAGTGTTCCCAAGACGGGTGTAGTCTCCATACACTTGTTAAACTACGCATTTCTAGAACTCTTTTCACAGAATACATATGCGGGTAGATCTAACCTTGTAGAGAAATACTATAGACCTATTTTTAGGGACATAAAATTTGGCCTCAGAGAAGTCCTACCAAACTGCAACAAAATGACAGAGAACTTAGTTAATATGTCCACCAGTTCACTAAACGATGGAAGAAAACCTCCAGATCACCCTGTATGTCTAGAGTTCTGCCTTAAAAGAGACAGTATATCCAGTTTTGTAAAATGTTCAGGAAAGCCAAAAAAAACCCCAACACATCTTTGCTTCTCAAAAGCCAGTCACTTTGAATATCTTCAAAACATTTTCCCTGCCTTATTTATTAAGATACCAATGCCTGACTAAGGAAGAAATGTGCCCTGTGTTTTAAACTATCAGGTCAAATTGATAACTCAGTTTCATCTAAAACTGGACATACTGTCCTTTATAATTAAACTCCAAACATGATCTGTACACAATAAATCGCTACCCCAGAATTACAAAGTTCTAAGTGCTCAGTACCCAGATCTGAGAAATTTGACTTTAAAAATGTCGAGTTTCCGAACATGTCAAGCTTTTTCTAAGGCAATTCTTTGAATATCTTGATAACCACTGCGAATTGTCATACGATTTTGATAGTGGAGACAGAACATTTGATTTCTGACCAGACGGCCTTAGTAACTCAAACGGCCAAAAATGTCAGATAGAAATTTGTAATTCTAAGGTAGCGAAATATAAGAAAATGATAAGTTAGTGGCAAACTAAAACATAAAAAAAAACAGGGACATTTGAGCAATCATTAAAAAAGAATTTATTTCCTTCAGTGTATGTATACATGTTATATTTGAGAAATGTTTTATGGAATGTGGTATGAAAATATGCACAGCTTTTATGATACAGCTAGGGAAGGATGGCGGCAGGAGAACTGGCTTCAATAAGATTTTCCACACCACTCAGTAAATAGGATAAAAAATACAGAAGTATTATGGGAATGTTGTAATGATCAACAAGAGAGCTTTTCATAACAGTCTGAGCTGGAATGTCATAGTCACTGTGCCTTTCATAAAATAATAAGAACAACTTTTCTTTTTACGACAGTTGTAGGTAAATTCTGAATTTCTCTTGCAGTACAGAATTTAACAGCCTGCCATCCAATATACAGAGTAGCCCTTTCCTAAATGAAAAGACAACAAAAACTATATATATATAAAACCAAAATTTAAAATGTTGGATATTCAAATCTTTGTGGTCCCTAGTTAATGAGTAACCCAAAATCTGTAAGAATTCTGAGTGCAAAGTTAATCTTTCAAACCTAAAGTATGTTAAGTAATACAAACAATATGAAGATGTGTCTTTGTCTCATCTTAAAATGACAGCGCATGACCAAGAATAATTCTAACGTTAATTCTAATACATTATGAACCAAGTTTCAATTACTACTTATTCTTAAACAGTAAAAAATTAATTAAACTTCCTAAGTTCCATGCTTCAATTATTGTAAAATGCAATTAGTTGAATGTATGGCAACATTCAAATCAAGAAAAAAAAATATCCTGTAATTAAAAGGAAGAACAAGACTGATTCTTCCTGCCCTGAAACCTGATCCAAAACTATGAAAAAGGTCTTAATATGAATGGTGGACTGAACTCCAAAGATAAATTTGTCGTGTTGGTCATATTAATTAGCCATGAACAATTTACGGCCATACCTCCTGATCTCTCATTAAAAACCAAACAACGTATACATTGTACTAAGAAATACTTCTTAATCTTAGTAACAAATGACATAGAAACAGCATTTCTCAAGACTGCGTTGCATTTGTTTTCATTTATACAGCTGAGAGATAACCGATTAATAAATGAAACTAAATCCTAAGGCATAGTATCACCTAAGTGTACATTTTGTCCTTACTTAAAATTACAGTATAATTTTAAATACACAAGCCCATATACATTCTAAAAAATAAAGAATGACCTACTACAATGAACAAAAAAAATATAAAGGTCACAACTATTTACAGATAACAAATCAGGATGTGGGTGAACAATGCTCTTTCATTACTTTCAAGATAATACTTTAACTCAAAATGATATATATCAAAATTCTAAGGAATACAATGGAGTCACCAATACATACAGACTGTCAGCTATGACAACTACATGGACTTTAGGTTTCTAGAGTGAGGTAAAACTGCACTAGCAAAAAGAGCTATCAGAAACAAAGCTTAAAGAAAGATCTTCTAAGACAAGAGAATTCCATTTGTTTCATGTGCAAGCCGAGCCATTGTTTGATATTTCAACATAAATCCTTGGTGAGGATCTGTTTCATGCCAAGGGAGGGCCATCATAATCTAATTCTCTTTAGAAGCACGATAGCAAACACCTCTTGCAATGACAATCCCGGGCCAGAACAGCACTGTCCTTGTCCTCCGGTTCTAATGTTATCGAAACGAAAACTAGAAAGAGAGAGAAAAAGGCTGATTTGCCAATTTGCAGAGGTGAATGCATGGTACTATTATTGACAAAAGCCTCAAACAATGTAATTGCCATCACTGTTTCATGACACAACCAAAGAGATCTTATCAGTATGAAGAATATATGTTTAAAAAAATTTTTAATTACATTTAATGCCATAATAATAATATGACTACATGAGCCCTTCATAAGTAACTTTTGCATAGGAATGGTTTCTGCTTTTAGGTTTAGTTCTTGAAATGGAAAGTCGTTTTACATTTTGCCCTTTTGTCTATTTGCTCAGTAACTAAAAAGATGTTGAATTTGGAAACAATCAATATAGATACAGTCATGTTTTTTTCCTAACAGGAAATTTCATATTTGTTGCGAAATGGAGCAGACTCTTCCATATTCCCGCTGAGGCTCTGCTGTTATCTCTGTTTCCATTCCAAGGAAAATTATAAAAATAGCTGAGACTACACTATACAGAACTGCTACAATAGAATGCAAGTTCACAAATTCACTGGTTCACCTATGTCAACTTAGCAGCGTCTTTCTCCTTACAATGTGGAATATTTCTTTTCAATAATCTTATGAAAAGCTTTGCAATAATAAGATATGAAGGCAAAAGTCAAATGAAAGAACACACTACAACAGCATGAGCATTCCATAAGAATGACCCTATTGCACAAGATCTACGTACAGTAATCCCATTACCTGTGGATACTGCGGAGAATAATTGTTTTGTTATATTTCATAATAATTATATAGAAACAAGGCTTAAAATGCGCTGGTACAAAATGGCACTGGACACTGGTGTCTCATAAACCATGAACAATTTCTTGGAAAATATCTTCCACTGATTTTGTACCGATAGACGTTTCTCCAGATTCTTAAAAAATGTTCACAGAAAACTGGAACAAAGCACTAAATCAAGAGGGAACTGAGTTTATGTAAAAGTGTGTAAAATTTTCAACTTGAACTTGAAGTTTATACAAACCAAAAGCTGTTTGACTAAAGAAGAAACCATCACAAGGTGTGTCCACAGAAGGTAATGCTAAATGGCATTGTTGCCTGAACAAAATGTAAACCTGAACGACACTTCCTAAAGCCTGTTCCAAAAAAAAAAGACTTGGGATTTCATTTCAAAAGACAACTTCGAAGTTTTAATTTCATTTTAGGGAAAGGCATACAGTGCAATAGGAGAGGGTTTACAATATCTAAACAGTTGAACATTTCACGAGCTAAGGTCTCACAACATCCTTGGAGAATTCTATAAAGCATAATCTATAATAAGTCACAAAAGATGAACAACATAATACAAACACAAGATAACTTTTTTTTAAACATCACCCTAACTAAACTAAGTACAGTCGAGCTTGCCATGACGGCCACCTGTACAAATGGCCACTTTCCGTTTCCCACCTTGTGTTTTTTTTTTCTATATAATTTAACTGTGTAAAACTGTCACCTGTCCAACACGGCCGCAGCCACCTTATTTTATCAACCCACGGTCAAATTTACCTGCCTCAGGCGGCCAGGTGAGGTCATTCATCGCCCAACGCTTTATCATAAATTTTGAATCGGCCCCTCACGCTGTGGACGGGCCGTCATAATTCATTCACCTGTCGTTATTGTTAGCCCCTCCAATTAATATTTACCCAAGTTGACCAATGGGTAGGCTTAACAATAAATTTTCAATGGCTGGTGAGGGAAGCGTGATCCATCATAACGTATAAGCTCCGCCCACAACTCATGCACAAATCGTGTGTAAGGTGACTGGTCACTGTTTTGTTTACCTAATCTGTCACAAAGTAACCACGGACGTTGAGGTGAACTTGCGACAGAATCGTCGCTCGATCTCCGAGAGGCGATGACCCGTGTGTTTGTTTTACCATGGGACTCGGTCTTCATCCTCTTTCTAACATAATATTTTGTTTATTTTACCTTTGCACAAAATCAGCAACAAAAAGAAAGCTATCTAAAAAAAACCAAACCAACTAAGCAACAAAAAAAAAACCCAACCCTTTCTTACACCCCCCCCCTTTTTTTAAATTTAACCCCCCCCCCCCCCCCCCAAAAAAAAAACCCTTTTTAATTCTTCTTACGAAAGTCCCAAGCCTAAAATCAGCCCTGGTTTGGACCTCAGAAGAGAATGATTTGTTTTCGTCATTTTGATCAGTCATGCCTAAGACGGCCACCAGTGTTATACTTATACAATCACTTTTCTCCTTGATAAAGGGTGGCCGTTTTACACAGGTTTGACTGTATACTTTGCCAATATTACTTGATATCTAGAATTAAAGGGATGGTGAGGATTGTATTAAAAAAACAAACAACTAACCTTTCCAGTAAAATAAAAATGATATGCCAAAACAAAGTCCACCTACAACAAAATATAGAGATAAAAACACCTTACTCACTACCATATGCATGCCTGCTTAAAACCCTGTAAAGCATTAAGGTAGACCAACTTTCAAAACTCAGTATGGTATGTTCATTAAAAACAAAATATGAATTTTCTGTGGTATCTAAAATTAGTCTTCACAAATGTTAATGTTTAAACATCTGACACCAACATGGTCAGGTAATTAAAAGTTACAACATCATTATAGCGTTTCATTGTCAAACAAAGTCTTGTGTAAGTGAACCATGTTAATATGGATCAACAAAAAATGAAGGCCAGAAACACAAAAAATAGAGCAAACTGAAAAACAAAGAAAATATAGAGAAACATAATAACATCAAATGGAACTTTCATCTCTTTTCCTGTTAGACTTTACAAGCAAGAGCTAAAGAACCCACTATTAAGCCTTTTATTAAGGCAAAACCAGCCTGAAAATGAAAGAGTATACACACATTTCATTTTACAACAGGCTCCACTGTTCTCAATGGCATAGTATTCATACCTTCTGCACTACAATGTCATAAAGATGGCCTGAAGGTCAACTGGAAAGACTCACACTTGTACCACAAATGTGATCAATTTAGGAAATTTACAGGGCTAAGACAATTTGTAGAGCTTGATCATATTACAGTATGATCTCACTGTCATTAATAAAATTCATTCAAAGATTCATACTCAAATACATAAAAGTTTCAGGCATACTTCTGTGACCATTTTGAAAGTTCACACTTCAAACAACAATGAAAAATATACAAGAGTAAATTACCAACATTCGTACTTCCGACAATAACATTTAATAACACTAACCATACAATTCTCAGACCACAGAATATGGCATGTAAGTTTTGTCAACATGAACAAAAGCCTGCTCAGACACCCATGACAAAGAAAAAAGAGTGTAATATCCGCTGTGGATGTAAAATACAGGCTTCAATAATGAAGGGCGGTTCTTTTATAGCATGCAATATTGAGTTACCATTGTGAACGTGCTGCCATTTAGAGATACCAAGACACAGGCAGCAGCGGCATTAGGAAGTAGACATATTGCCAACAAATAAGAGAAGACCTTTTACTCACAACAATATCTCATTAAAGCTCTTCATTTTTTTAATTATCAAAAACCACACATTAAAAAATATGTTAAAAGAAACAGCATTTTAACATGAAACAATCAGAAGAGCAACTCCAGTTTTCATTTTCATATCCTATCAATTTTGAGCTGCTTACAAGTAAGTTGATTTTCGATATACATTAAGCCACTGACCTCACATTTGTAAAATTTCCTTTTTAAAAAAAAACAACCGCAAAATATTTATTTACAGTGAAACCTCCGTCATCGGCCCCTTCTTCGAATCCTTTTTCTTGGCAGCTTCCTTTTCCTTTTTCGATGGCTTTGGGGCCTTCTCTGGTTTAGGGGCCTTCTCTGGTTTAGGGGCCTTCTCTGGTTTAGGAGGTTTCTCTGGCTTGGGAGCCTTTTCCGGCTTTGGGGGCTTCTCGGGTTTCTGAAAATTGCAGAAAAGAATAATGAATAAGTGAACAAAACTATGCGGAAAGTTTTTGATCAATTGGTAGATGTCTCCAAAGAAAAAAACTCCCAAAAAAATTTCCTTTACCAAATACTGAAAAGAGAAAATGTAGGTCGGTAAACACATGAGAACGATATTTCTTTTTGTGATTGTGACATGCTTGAAATAAGTATCAAACAGGGTGTAAAAACACCTTCACTTAGCCAATTTCTCTGAAATTTTACTTCTAAAGGAGATAGGACAAGAGCATTTCTTTTTCTTTCTGTAAATACATTTTATATCAGAACTGTCATCATAATGTGCCAGATCTGAAACAGACATCAGCAATCATGGTTCACCATTCATTTCTTTTCTAAGATGCTCTAAAAAAAATTACATTATCTTAGTTTTTCGCAATCACCCATCTGTTCAGGTTTTCCAACATTATCATAATAGATTTGGAATATTGAATGAATAAAAGTTATGCCTGAAAAAAGAAAATAACACTAGAACTAGAAACAAACCTTTGCCACCGGAGGCTTTTCCTTCCCTGGTTTCGGAGCCACCTCTGGCTTCGGCTTGGCTTTGGCTTTGCGCTCATCTTCTTCCAGGTCAAGGGAATCCAAACTGCCTCGAGGGCTGTAGTTCTGAGTATCTTCCTCATCAGAGTCCTGCTGTCGTTTCGGAATCATTAGAGCCGCCAAAGGGGTCGCGACACCTCCTCTCGACTCATGGTTTGACACTGGCCTTCTCTCAGCTTCTGGCGATGCTCTGCGTAACTGTTTAGGAGATGCTCTGTGAACTGGTGGAGGAGACTCTCTGCGAACGGGTGGAGGAGACTCTCTGCGAACGGGTGGAGGAGACACTCTGCGACCTTCTTTAGGGGAAGCTCTGCGAACCTCATCTGGTGATGCTCTTCGAACTTCATTTGGAGACCTTCTTCGCATTTCATCCGGGGAAGCCCTTCGCACTCCGATTGGTGATTCTCTCCGTAATTGAATGGGAGGTGCTCTTCGCTCCTCTCTAGGAGACCTTCTCCGACTACCTCGTGGGGAATCTTGAGGGGCAGAGGGCAGCCTTTCATCAAGGTCATCTTCTTCCTCTTCGTGAACTATGAGAAACAACAACAGTAGGTTTCAGACAGTAAATACGTCAAAGGATTTCTTTATACATTCTTGTACTACTTAGAGATAGTACCCCTACTACATACTAAATACAGCAGACCAGGTCACAATCTTTCGACTCCATTGTGGCGACAACAGACTTAAACACCACATGCACACTAAATTAAAAGTAGGAGAGTCCGCGATCTGTGAATGTGGACAAATCCAAGAGGATGCCAACCATACCTTTCAGCACTGCCCATGCTATGCCACCCTTCGTACACAGACGTGGCAGAATTCTTTTAAAGAAACTTAACACGGGGCAAAAACTTTGAAAAACTTTATCTTCGATTTTCTCAAAATAAGATTTTTCGGGAAAGCCCCCTTGTGCTTAAAAGCGACCATATCTTCTGAGAATTTTTATACCATTCTTTAACCTTTCAGTCAATTTTTAAGAAAATGGTAGCTGTTTTAAACATGATCAAATTTGCTGAAGTCGGTAACTGAAACAGAAGTTATGAAAGTGAGCCGAAACCATAGTCCCCTGAACATCCATGTCAATAGTAAACAACTGAAACAGGTGAGAGAGTTTAAATATCTTGGCAGCACTTTTTCTGAAAACAGGTCCATAGACAGAGAAATAGAAATGCGAACGCAAAAAGCCAACGCTGTCACCCACCAGCTCGCACCTCTTCTATCTCATCCAAACATCTCCATGGACACAAAGAGACAGCTTATCACCTCAATATTCATACCAACATTATGTTATCAGTGCCAGACCTGGACCTTAAGCAAAACCCATGAAAGCAAAATCACTGCATGCGAAATGAAAGGTCTCCGCAAAACCCTTAACATCACAAGACGAGACAGATAGAGAAATGAAGAAGTAAGAGCAGCTATCGGCACTGAGTCCTGCCTGCGTTACATATAAAGACAGAGGATAAAATGGTTTGGCCACCTGTTACGCATGTCACCTGACCAGCCAGCCTTGACAGCCTACAACACCAAGCACTCAGGCTATAAAGGAAGAGGAAGGCCACGCAAAAGGTGGATCGAGGGTGTCAAGGAAACCCTAAGAAAACATAACATCACAACTGAAAGAGCTGCGGAGCTGGCCTACCATAGAAAGCTGCATCTCCCCTCGACGCTTAACGGCAACAGAGGATGAAAAAGTAAAAGTAAGTAAAGTAGGTAACTGGCTGTAACCCCATGTTTGACAGACAATAAAAGAGTACCAAGTGCACCAAACATCTCCACAGTAACAGAGTACAATCACTATAACATAGATATGGAGCCTAATTTTTTTCAAGACATTTCATCGCATTAAACATGATCTGTCATTTTTTCTACAAAAACACAGAGCATTGACCCCGCCGGCGCCGCACCAGCCCCCGCAAGTCAGCTCTATTCTGTAGTTTGCTGAGTGCTCTCCGTGTGGGGGGTCACATGCTTTCTGAGCTTCGCGGAAGGATTGATGCAAAATTATTCCAAGCCTATTACTTTATTCTAATAGAAAATGAACTGTTCTTTTGAGCCGGTATTTTACATATTTCGTGTAAAAAATGATTTTTGAAAACTTTGACAGTATTTTTAAATGCTTTCTATTTAAACGCCAAAGGCCAAAAATATTCTTTCTCCGCCAATGAAAAGACGGTATATAATTATCAATCTTTCCGCAAAGCATTTGAATACACGCATGTCAATTTTTGAACTGGCCAACCACGCATTCCAACCGCAAGGGGCTTCGCTTTCCACGGCGATTCTCCAGCTCCTAATAATTGGACATATAAACAACTTACACCATTGTAACGAGGAAAAGCTGAACTTTTACAGGGTGTACAGCATTTGGTGTTTGAGAGGGAAAGAGCGAAGTAACAGCGATCTGAATTACCCCGATTTCACTGTAACCATGCCCTCAGAAGGCCGCGAGTGCCAGCGACGCCGTGTTTTTGCTACCTAGTAAAAGAGTATGATAACTTTCCCAGTTTATCAGAGCTAACTAGATGAAAAACAGAAGAGAATGAACTTCAGTACACATCAGCCTCTTTCTGCTCAAGGAAGTGCATATCAATCAACAAAAACCTATTGAACTTTTGAATCAGAAGAAAAATACAGGGTTGCTTCGATTCTAAATGCAAAAAAAGAATTCGTTCATCTTTCACATAAAAACTGGGAAGAAATAGAGCCGACAAACAAATCAATTCCCCTTTATGAGTCGTCCATTCAAACCCTTAACTCGATCCATACGAAAGCCATTAAAATTTCAGTATTTTCTACATTTTATGAGAATAGTAAATAATCAATGTTGTCCAAATATGATGTGATTAGTAAAGAAACAAAATTTTTCAGGAAAAAGAGAGGGAACACAAAATGCAACTGAAGGAAGACAACAAGGTACAAAACTAAATAAAATATGGACCCTGCTTGGAACAGATTTTTTAGACCTCTTTCTGAGAATATAGGTAATCCTAATATGGAATTATATGTCCGAAAATTGAAAATTCTTTCCATAATTAAACAAGAACAAAAAAAAATTAGATGGATACAAAATAAAAGCATAGTCACAATTTAGCTCATCAAGCAAACGACTAAATCAAGATAATTTAACAAAACAAAAGCTAGTCAAAGAATTATGTAACTGCTGCATCTTATGCAGAATATTTTGTACACCACATTTCTCTACTAGAAAATAGGCTTCATGGATGTTACAGTTTATGACTATGACATCAAAATTATGAAGGACTACTGTCTTTGCAAAGAAAACCTGAGTTAAAACTTACCATTATGCCTAATGACATTGCGTGTGTTGAATTTTGGAGATTCTTCTCTGGGAAGAGGGGACTGTAAGGGTGTGCGGCCATCATCCAGCCTCTCATCCAACCTCTCATCCATGATGACAGGAGCCCGGTCGCGAGCACCGCCACGTTCACGCTCATCTCTGGCAGTGTCAAACGACATGTTGTGTAGGTGATGGTTTCTTTGTTCCAAGTACGGCTCATGGTGATTCACTGAGGGTGAAAGAGTGATCGTTGCACTTCAAACTGACAGTCACACTCTTGTCTATGCAAATGGTGCAAAAGACATGTCACATCAACAAAACAAGTACCAGTAAAGAACCTCTCAGATTAGGCCCAGACTTTTGTTGTGACATACTTTTTGTACTTTTTTTTCACAAATCTAAAAATGTTAAAAATGTTTTTAATGACAGAACCACCCAATGTGACAAAACTATGGAATTTTTTTTTAGCTGTGGAGGGCCACAGAAAAAAAGTTGCATTCAGTCATTGAGTTCGTAAAAAGGGAGATAGGAATACACTGTTGCATAATGTTGTCATAATAATATATAGCCTATATGACAGAAGTCAATCTATACATTTCAGATTTTCCCTTCCCATTTATAGTATGGGAATGTAGAACGAACAGTCAACACATTGGTAGCAAACTTACTGGAACACAAAGAAGACTGTTGCTCAGGGAAGGGCCCAAATCATTTTTTTTAAAGCCCAAGCTTTTAAATCCGGCCTATAACATTGGTTGCTTGATCTCTAACATCAATCTATAAGATCCCCTACACATACACACATAAGAAATCTAGTTATACAACCAGAACGATATATCCTGCAATAGTGAATTGGTAATGTTGCATTTCTTTGTATCCTACAAGCCACTACTATCATTTAGAACACCATGACTTCTCGAAAAGATCTGATGAACAAAGTTAAGCCTCCTATGACTCTCACAAAAATGAGTACAAATAAAAGAAAGTACATTCCACACACCAAAAGAACCACTCCTATCTGTAGCAGAGTGTGTTCACTTAAAAGATCTCCCTTGTGCTTAGGAGCACTCCAAACATTTAGACCAGCAAGTTGTCATTTCAGTAACAGTACAATGGGGAAGAATGTTCATACCCTGGAGTCTATGGATTCAAACTACTTTTGCCCTTTCTTAAAACCAAACACAAGCTTCAGTGTACAATTATGTAAATCTAGCGGTCGGTCAAGCAAAGAGCATTCAGGCTAACAAGTCTTGTCGGCTCAGGGACCAAAATTCAAATGACTGGCTCAATCAAACTGAAACAAGCAGATCTAGAGGTAAGCAACTCACAATTATCTCTACTTCGTGCTCTGTTGTTGTTCAGGACAGAGTTGAGCGACTGGCGACTATGAGTACGCTCAAACTGCTTGGAAGGACGGTCAGCCATTGAAGCATTTTTGCGTGTCTCATGCAGCGTGCGACCAGAGTAGCGATACTTGGAGCCAAATCGAGGGAAACCTGATCTTTTCTTGGCATCTTCTGATGTTCTCAACCTGGTGAAGGACAAAAGAGAAAACCTTGAGATTGCATGACAACAGATATAAGAATTGAAATTTCTGGTAAAATGGCATCCTTATATTATCTGCACCCTCACATTGGTCTTTCATGTCCTTGAGTTTAAAAGAATGTCTTAGTACTGTACACCAACGAGCAGCTTATGCTTCAAAGCACTTCCATTTTGGGGCCCCTCAGACTAAAACCCAGAGTATTGAGAGCTCTAAGCTTGACTACATTCTCCAGGGCTAACTGTATAACCAGCGAGTTCTTTATGTGGTGTTGTTTTTAAAAGCCTCTGTGACTTCCACAGAGCTGTGGGCAAATTAAGGAAGCTGATATTAGATCGTACATTGCTCTTATTCATTTGTCATTTGTTATTTTTATCTGTAGGTCTTGCCTGTCTTAACATCAAATTGCCATTAACAGGGCGAATGAAAACACCATAAAAGCTGAAACACGTAAGTGTGTTCACCACAGATTGTTAATAACATAGTTGCTATTCTTATTTTCATCACCAACTATATTTTAGCATAACTTGAGGCTTGATTTACAAAATCAGCCAAATCATTTAACTGTTGGTTCGATATTTAGTAGAAAGTTCATATTTAGTAAATAGAAGACAAAGAATAATATAAAAGTTTGTCAGTTACAAAACTTTACAGAATGTAATTAAAAGTTGAAAATCCTCTATAACTTCTACATTTCATTCAAAATAAGATCAATGTGAAGTGAAGCCTCCCCTCCAAATGGTTAATCTTGTAACACAGCAATCACTGCAATAAGCCAGCAGACAAAGATTGTGAGTATTACCGTAAGAAAGCGTGATGCTCCACAGCTATCTTCCACAATCTCTTGGCATGTTTGTTGTTCGATAAGCGGAAAGCAATCCAACTTTCATAGGTTTCAAACTGAAAACAAATCATGTGCCTTCAAATAAGTGTCAGTTCATTGAAATGGATGAAAATCACACAAAAACAGTGACTGGTAATACAGTGACAAGAAGAAGAGCATTAAAAAAAACCTCAACAAAATATGGGAAAACAACAAAGAGCAAAGAAGAATCTAACAAAAGCTTGGACTGCAGTCTTGGGAACCAATCTACTTTTACCCTTCTGAAAACCAAAACCACTAGCACCTGAGGTGTAGCAATTAGGTGCTTCAATGGCGCATGCAGAATACATGAGTTTGATTCCCATGCAGACAAAAATTTTATTGAGCATCTCCATCTTTCTGCTAGGACGTTGCATCCCTCTCAGCACGCGTCAGCCCTTGAATAGGCAGCTCGTCTCCTAAATGATCTATACAGTGTCAACGGGAGCTTGAAACTATTACAATTCCAAAAAAACAAACAAAACTAAATGCACGTCTCAGTGTGTAAATTAAATCTAGCGATCAGGCCATGACTGCTTCGATTTAAGTCAACAGATTCTGCAGGCTCAAGGACTACGACTCAAAGGGACGACTAAACCACACTTAAATCATGAGAGGTCATTCCTTTAAGAAGCAATATATTGTCAGCAAGATCTTAAATGCACTAAGCCCACAATTTTGAAAATTTTCTGTATTGCAGTTCTTAAACCTGTGGTAAAGGTGGCATGTGTTCTAGAAATATCTCGTCGAAGTTCAAATTCTAAGTGTTGAAAAAAACAAGAAAAAAAACAACATAAATACACTTTTGTTTTCTAGGCTTTGAACATTTGATCAGCTTGCTGATGGCGTAGCCACACACAAAAAAAACACACTGTTTTGGCCTTACCTCGGCAGGTCTAATTCTCAACAGAAACTTGTTCCGTCTGTAAGAGATTTTGAGGATCTTTGGCCACACGAATCTGTTTATCCTTAAGTTGTCTCTGTACACGGAGATGCCGGTGGCGCCCACTCCCAACATAATGTCCACAAAGTCCGAGTCCTGGGGGAAAACATTCAGCGCATTTTACTTCAAATACCAAATGAAAGTTAAGATTTGAAGAAACTAATAAACAACAATTTGAATGTTTTTAAAAGATATATTTCCTAACAGATAATAGAGAAAATATGCAACAGAATTCAATTATTATACAACAGTTTACATCTTATAAATGAAAAGGTGCATTTCTCATTCCACTTTCAAACATTGAAATGTTTTATATCTTCATTTGAAAAAAATATCATGGCACTCTCTTTTAAGTAGTACACATAATGTTGTACACAGTTTGTACAAGCAAAAAAAAGAAAAACAAGCCACTGCCAGAAGCTGACAATGCTTTTGGGGAGTAACTGCACCACAATTATTATTACAGTCTAGGCCCACTTGATTACTTGAAAGTGATGTCTTCTTACTCCTCAATACAAATTACTTTCATTTCACCCCCCCCCCCCCCCCCCCACCAAACAAACAAAGCATTTAAACAAGCTCCAAATTCATACAAACACAATAAATGACCTAATGACCCAAACAAAATTTTTAAAATCAACGTTTGACTATTTTTACCTTTGCTCTGTGAAGATCCATACCATAAAGGGCAATCTTCTTGCTGTATTCCAAGTACCGCAGCTCAGCATCTTCTGGAGTCAGGCCCCTGCAAATTATGCAATACCAAACAGACTGAACTACATGTATGTGTGTGTGCATGTCATTTCAAACAAGCCTAAAGAGTGATTTTTAAAAACTACATATAAACTCTAAAGAACACAATGGAGCCAAGTACCACATATCCTTGCACTTGTGATAAGGTTGGCTAACCCCAGTGAAGTAAATTCTACAGGAGAAGCAAAAATGTATTTTGTTTGATCCCGCAGCAGCTCAGTGGCCAGTGGGTAGTTCGGCTTTATTTTCAACATTTTATGAGCATTTTTAGACAATTTAGACCTATATATGAAATAAATTATACACCATTGATTCGTCAAATAAAAAATCTTTTGATACATTGTGGGTTAGCTGGTCTTATCACGAAGGCAATGATATGGTGCTTAGTTTTCACAACAATCTAAACCTTAAAATTAGAGAAACAAGAAACCGATTTAAATTATCAGTCTATTTGACATAAAAATAATACAAGTTGAAAATAACTACTTCACTCCATTTAAGTAGTCAACCATTGACCTGAGAAGTCCGAGTTCTCAGTTAATAATCGTTTCACAAGAAATGTCAAACTTTGAAGATATACCGCAAACTGTCAAAATGATATGGTAAAGTAAAGTGTATAAGGGCAATTCAGCATGTACCACTATGGAAGCTTTGAGTCTTGAATTCTCTACTCATTACGACTGTACATTAAGTAACAAATATAAAACAACACTGTTTTAAAGAAACCAGTACATTAAATGACATAATGGGAACTAGCATGGAAATAACTGGTCAACAAAACAAACAAGCAACCACCCACCCCCTCAAAAAAAAATTAAATTAATACATTTTTAAAAAATTGATCAAAATGGCATGTTGTCCTGTGCTTACTTGTGTTGCCTGTGGAGTGTGGATATCTTGTACAGCAGTTCCTCACTCTGCTCGGGGGCAAAGGGCATGTCCTGGATGTACTGGATGCCCGTGCCGTGGTCCAGGGGGTCATAGTCACCGATGTCAGCTTGCACGGCATATGACCCCAGCATGGCATGGGTGGCTTGTGAACACGGCAGTCTACAGGAAAAAAATGCCAGATACATGGACTTAATATCTCCATTCTCTTTTTACTCTCGCTTCAGTGCTTTCATCTGAAGAAGTTGGTTGGCTACATAAGCAAATAGTCAGCCCATGACACCAGAAATACCTGGTCAAATAAATAATTTTATTCAACAGCATAATTTTTTTCCCATTTTGTTTGTAAATATGTGAAATTTAATCTGAGTGACAGTTTAATAAACATTCAAATAATAATAATAATAATAATATAAAAAGGTAAGTACGATATTCTGCTCAACTGAAAACTTCCTGCTCCACTGTAAAATTTGAAACAGATAGCGGCTAAAATGGCTACACAATCTTTAAAAACAATTTTCATACTGATAATTGTATACATGTTTTACAGCCAAATCAACACAATTTTGATCAATCAGTTCGCCAGCTGCCTTGACTCTGCCAGTCAGGACTAACCCGACCTGAGAAGGACACAACATACCAGCATACCAAAACCTCTCAAATCAATAGGTGCCATTTCTCTTGATGTCATATGTGGCGAACAGAATTGTAAAATCATGATGTTTGCTTCGGTCAGAAATGGTAAAAAAACGTTTCAAGGAAGAAAGACGAGTTACACAGAAATATTCACAAAGGCCTCTCAGCAGAAGCATTTGCACTATACAAGTCAAACTTGAGACAAAGTAGGCTTCAAAATTTTCCAGGCGTGGGGTATTTATTTTCCAGGTGTGCAAATCAATGCCTGTGTGCATACACAAATTACATTTTATTTAGTAAAAAATTGTCTAAAACGGCCACCCACTGATAAGAGGAAAAGTTAGAGTAAAGAGAAGCACATATTGACACAATGATGGTTATAATAGTAAAAGAGTGTCCTATTGAGGGAGTCTTGTCTTACCTCCCACTGATTATGTCTCTTCTAATTTGCAGCACAACAAGATATCTGAAAAAAAGAAAGAATTTACAAATAGTCCAACACAAAACAAATCAATGACTTGTCTTTTCTTTTTCTTTTTTGAAATAGAAACATCTTGATAATAATAGCATTGAAAATAAGGAAAAGGGAACCATCCATATCAGAAACATCACAAATTCCAAAAAGAAAGAAAAATAAAAAAGCCAAACAGAAATGGAAAAGATGTTTTATATATAAGTATAACACATAACACCTACAAGAACAATGTGTTTCTTACTTTGTCACTATACTTAGAACAAGGTGAAGCAAAACAAGCCATTCAAATAAAAATGTGAATACAATCAAATTATTAAAATTATCAATATTATAGTAATGAAGTGTTTGACCACACAGTACTCTTAACCATAATCTGCTACATGACCACTCACCAACTGAACATTCAAATATTCCCACACAATCTTTCAAACTTTGCACCACACAGTTGTTGACAACTCTCTAAAAAATTATCTCCTTTTTACTGAACTCAACTGAACTACACAAATAACAGGGATGAGAAGAAGAGAGAGAGAGAAAAAAAAGAAAAAAAGAAAAAGCAACTCAGTACTTCAGCATCAGGAAAGCAACATATTGTCAGAAACTTTAAAATTATGAGAGAAAAAAAAAATTCACTTCTTAATAAATATTTTTTTAAACCCTTTTAATGCCATATTAATGTACTTAGTGTGTCATAGAATTACACAATTTTCCACATCTTGAAGTACCCGGTATGACAAAAAGTGTCATACCAAAAGGGTTCATGTGACAAAAAGAAGTTCTGAATTAAAGACCCTGAGGATGACTTCCTCTAAAAAAGCTACAGCCATACCTGGTCAAACTCTCCGTCAGCTGAGTTGGGTCTGGAGGATAGAATTTCAGCGCAAATTCGAAATCCATTTTACCACCTGAAACACATAAATATTTGTAAGTGGATCATCATTTAATTTCTCTTTAAACCTCTTGTTTCAAAGGGAAAAGACAAACATCAATTCCCTAAAACTGCAAAAAATCTATTTTAAAATACCTGATTTCTCTGTATGTTTGTGGTACTGACTACCACAAACATATGAATTTTTGTGTTAAGGGTCCATCCTCCCTATAATTATAATCTTAGTGGGCTGAGGTGATTAAATTGTAACATGAATGTTCTATAAGACTACAATTTAAACAGTAATGGTTATTTCATCTTCACATAAAGTCCACTCCGCATGTGTTGAACTCGCTTGAGTTGATCTTCAATTAATTATCTTTTTCTCCGGTCCCAGTCTCTCTTCTTTTTTACAATTTATTTTCAACGATTAAGTTGAATTTCAGATGAGTTGATTTATTTTTCATTCACCCGATGACATCAACTCATCTGTAGTCGATTGAAGTAAAGTTCAGACTAAAATTTGGAATAACATGTACAACAATTCTACAAATGAGATGCAGAACAGTAAAAAGTACTGAAGTAGCTTAATTTTAGTTAACCCTATCCATACGTCGTGTATTACTATCGTATCCATACTACGTGGGGAACTCTGTGCCACCACTTTCCAAAGAGGAAATTTACTTGTTAATCCAATCCATATGCTTTGCATCTAAGTCAGTCAAAATGACTTTTTGAGAAATACTGAAAGTTTCAAAGAGATTTTACTAGAAGTATTCTAAAATGTGAAGAATGCAACCCCGGGGGTACAAAATGACCCCAGGGCGTATGGATAGGGTTAATGGCACTTACGTTTCTTCTGTTTAGTGATTTTCTTATGTACATCCAGCCAATACTGTAGAAACAAAGCATAAAATGATAAGCACATGGTGATGACACAAGTTATATTAAGTAATAGGTGGTTTGTTCAAATGTGTGAGTGCTTAGTGTGGGGGGAGGGGGGAGGAGAGAGAGAGAGAGAGAGAGAGAGAGAGAGAGAGAGAGAGAGAGAGAGAGAGAGAGAGAGAGAGAAAGGGGGAGAGAGAGAGAGAGAGAGAGAGACAGAGAGAGAGAGAGAGAGAGAGAGAGAGAGAGAGAGAGAGAGAGAGAGAGAGAGAGAGAGAGAGAGAGAGAGAGAGAGAGAGAGAGAGCTGTCAATTGCTTCATTCTTCCAGTCCAAAGGCTAAGCTAAAAAAAGATATTTCAGCTGCGAAAGGAAAGGAACAAATTCTTTGAGAGACAAACATAAGCAACAACAAGATACTGCATGCTTCCCCTTGCACATCAGGTACATTGAAATGCTTATGGTGACCTGCTGACCTCTTCCCAAAGGTCAAGATCTCTGACCCCCCAGCACAAGCTGGGGGATGTCAAGTGACAAACTGCCCCGCCTCACACCACAGTAAATTACACTAGCCCAGTCACCACAGGGAAAAGCAGTATGTCCATTTTACTACTTGTGTGTAACAATTAACAATGTTGCACAAGAGGCACTTTGCACTAACTGGTGTCTAACTTGACAAATAAAAATTCTAAAAGTAATTAACTCTTTTGGTACATTGTTTCTAAGATCAGATCTGAGGTAGCTTAAGCATTCCTGCTCAGGCTTATTTGTGCTGGCTTGACAAAACATTATTATAGCACAGCATTGAGACAAAAAGTAAAAAAAAAAAAAGAAAACTTAACATCGTAACAAATTTAAAAACATAGACTTACTCTACTCATAACAAATTCAAAAACACACTCTACTCACCCGAGTATTATCTGAATCTCCCTCATATTTGAATGTCAAACCGAAATAATCCCTCTCCAGGAGATCAACATAGTCACAGACCCTTTCGAAAAGCAGCTGACCATAGGAACGTTTCTGACAAAAAAGAAGAACCAAAAATGATTATGAATGATATGATTTCATTCCATCAACATAAAAAAAGTAATGGAACTATCATCACTTTGGTGAACAGTTTAAGAAATAATGGGGGTGGGGGGAAGGCAGACTGAAAAACTGAGGCAGAATCTTGTTTGCTCAAATTGACCACAACCATTAACTAAAAGAATGTTGGTGCAGTGCTGATGCCTGATACAATTTAAAGTAATCACTGTGATTGTTAATGCCGCAGATGAAATTGATACACACGAAAAGCTTACCAATAATCAGTTTATATACTTTTATGAAACTGGTAAACTTGCATGTCTAACCAACTTCTTCTATATCTTTCTTTTTACTTGTCACGATTCTATATTTGGATATATAAATATTGTATTATTGTTTCATATGGATAAAGATTTGTTGAACATTTGATTTTGATGGGATCATTAATAAAACAATCACCTCCTGGGTAATATGAACAACATAACGTCAAAGAGACTTTAAAATGGAATTCTCCTTCAGGTGTCAGGTCTGAAAGAGACACCCACGATCATGGTACCCCATTCTTTCCTGCCATCAGCTCAGTTTTTCTGATCGTGTTATTTGTCATAAAGCTGTTCAAGCCATTTGTAGGCCTGTAAGTTATTCTCTGACTTTCTATGCTTTTCTTTACCTGTATGTTTCCACATGGTAGCAGTTTCTCAAGTTTACTTGTTCTATTTATGTGGCCATAAGAATGTCAAAGGCATACAATTGACTGCTGATTATATGTACACTCCTTCCTTTCTTTAGTTTATACTCCCATTCTATGCAATCACTTATGCCCTTTCCATTGACTGTATTGTTAATTATCACAGCAACTGAGGAGACATTTCAAAGCTGTTAACTGCATTGCAGGATTCTGACAAATGCCATTTCATTACCCAATTTGGCATTTCTCCGAGTCTTGCACCCAGCATTCAGAGGTGTCAGTGTATCTTACTAAAGACTGCTATTTTTTTCAGCCAAATGATAAAACAAGAGCTAATATTGTTGAAACAAAAAAAAGTGACAATATTGCGAAGATCATTTTGCAACAATAAAATACCTAGAGATGCACTCATGTTTTAATGCTGAATTATTGCCAAGACACAAGAAGTGGCAGTATTAATGAGGAAAAAAAGCCAGCTGAAAGTGTCTCTAAAAATAAAAGATTCCAAACAAAGAATAATAGTTAAATTGATGATCTTACATCGATAGCAACTTCAAAATCTTCTCCATTTAGCAGCAGGACCTTGCACACCATTGGGCGAGGTATTCTGGTTTTATTTTCACTTGGTGGAGGGGGTCTTGTGATCTGCGGAGGGCCACTACGGGGCGGTGGGGGGCTGTCGTCAGCCATTGTGTCATCCAGAGAGGCTGTGTCCACAGGGGGCACAAACTGCAACAGCTCTTCACTTAGAAGAGGTTCCTAAGTGAAGAAAAGATTATGAAAGTATTTGTATGCATTATGAAAAAAAAAGAGACAAGACCCTCACACTCTGTCGAGTACTTGAAACTCATTATCAAACTTACAGAGATCGTTACATAAATTTCTTCAAAGTTTACATGCAAACTGTTAAAAATTGCAGGATGTATACAGTAATATTACTAACACAAACACTGTTTTGCAGAACCCCATAAATTACTTTTTTCTACTGTAGTTAAAGCATACATGTATGATTTAAAAATACAAGTGTTTTGCAGGTCATCATGACATACTATATTATATCAATTAATTATGATTATAAAATAGTGGACAATTCTCATTACAGAATTGTATAAAAATGTAACACCATGTCAATCGTTTCCATTTGCAATTTTCACAGTGCCCTGATGGCTTTTCACACAGCAGTGTAGAAGCATTGGAAGCAGTATTTATAGGTAATTCAAAAAGGCAGTCCATATGGGCTTTAAGACAGAAACATAAATTCCAACTCTAACTTTTTAAAAGAACAACACCAGTTAAAAAGAAACACTTTTCGTCACAAGCACTTTGTCACAATGCCCACACACAGAAAAGTTTAACTATTATAAACATAAAAGGTGGGAGGGAATGGAGATGAGTTCAGGAAGCAACCCATTTTTAAATGGTCACTCATTAGGGAACCAGTGAACTCGTCACACGGTGAAGTCGAAAAACGTGTGGGGTGTTCACCAAAAAAAAAAGTATCCAAATAACAGTGGACTCTCGTCACACCTCCTCCACCAGCCATCTTGTACCATTTTAGATTTGTTTTATTGCATACAGTAAGGACATGCACATTTTTAACAGGTTTCGTATTGCACCCCAAAATGCGTCCGTTTTCTGTTTAACATGTAGAAACAGACAGGTTGACATGCGTAGATTTTGACTGAATAAACTCTGTTTCTGCATTTAAAAAATATTGATTATCAATAAAAGTTGACATGTGTGGGTTTGCCTGCCAACCCACGGTGAACTCGCCAAACGACAAGTTTTTCACAAGTCCAAGTACGTGACGAGATAACTGTGACGAGATCACTGGAGGTATGTGACTACTATCGGGCAACGAGGTAACTGGAGGCCACTTATTAGACCAACATACAATTTACAAACGTTGGTGGATATTTTTTTACATAAACCCTCTGCTCTAATCAGTTGGTAAAATGACTCACCATCATATCACAAGTCATAGACTTTAAACAATTTTTACTGGTTACGACAAAAATTTATTTGAGAGTGAGAGAGTCGTACATTTAATTCTTGACATCAACTTCAGTTTCAAACTGAACAAATTTAACCTCACATCACTAATTTATTATTAAATTTTTAAACTAGAAATTCCACTAGAATACACATGTGGTAAGCTTAGAAATCCTGCAAATAACTGAATGAACCAAAAACAGGAAGACGGATCAATGACCACACGTCTCGTCTGCTTGGGGGGGGGGGGGAGACCACACTGTACATAACTGTGTAAATGACGTGAATGTTGATTACCTTGATTTGGATGGGAGTTTATCGGGCACAGTAACAGATAGATAGAGTTGCAAGAGTTGATGTTGATTGAAAGGCTAAACAGAGATCACCAATCAAACCGTCGTGTGTACAATACAATGATGGATGTCTGTTCGCATACCAAATCACCGGTAAAAGCCCCTAAACACCAAACCAGGAAATGCACGTACTGTGATACACACACCAGGAGAGTGACCCGTCCTTACTTTACTTTATCACCTTTTTGCGTAAAATTCGATTAAAGTAAGGTATATAAAACAACCACTACTTATAAAGACTTATACAATATTTCTTTATTGCACCAGCATCAACATCTAAACTCATAAATATACACGCTGAGTTTCGAGTGAAATTGACTCGTTTTCCATGAATGAAATCAATGGGTTCAGTACAAACATGGCATCCACTAAAAGCCACACATTTGAAACTAGGACACGGCAGCGACACAGGTAAAGTAAACGAATGCTGCATACTTCAGCAAAACAGTCCACAAAACATCAACAGTTCCTTCAGAAGAATAAGCAAAAGAGTGCAACATCTTCTTCAGAAAACATGAAACAAAAATTCGAAATTTACCTGTACTGCAAGAAAGGTAAAAGAAAGCCACAGGCAAACGCTGTGAAAGCGCGAGTGTGTTTACGCACCTATTGGTTCACTTCCGCATTTACCTGTGCGACGTCACGACAAGGGAGATAACTGGTATAAAAAAAATTGTCTTACCTGTAGTGTGACGGGATGGTGCGTACGTGACAAACGGAATTTCTAATTGGAAAAACCAAATGATTGTTCAAACATGGAAAGTTCTGATCATCTCAACTCCCGGATTTACATATTATTCTTCTGTAAAACTGTCGTTGTGTTACAGCATGTCCTCTTGGTTTCATTTCTGTCCTTCTTTCGTACACCTTGACCTCTTCAGTCTTGTCCTCCTCGTTGAGGCCGTTGTCATTATCATTGCGCATCCCCCCTCCTCCTCCTCCCCCCGTCTCCTCCTCTTCCCTTCCCTCTCCTCCCCTTCTCCCCCCTCCTCCTCCTCCTTTTCCTCTTTCATCTCCTCTTTCTTTTCCTTTCTCATCCTCCTCCCCTCCTCCTCCTCTTCCTCCTTCTCCTCCTTCTCCTCCTCCTTTTCCCTTCTCTTCCCCTTCCCCCCCTCCTCATCTTTCCTTCTCATCCCCTCCCCTCCTCCTCCTCCTCCTCCTCCTCCTCCCTTCTCCCTCTCCCGTCCTCCTCCTCCTCTTCCACTTTTTCTTTCCCCAGGTCACACTATAACCTCCCCCCCCCTCTTGCTTGTATCTCCACCTCTTTGGTCGTCGCCCTCTCCTCCTTCACCAAACTCATGTTGTACACACAGAATTCTGTGGTTGTACACGAAGTTGTACCTGTGGGTGGTTGGCGGGTGCTCTGGTGTGGGTTGCTTCTTCTTTCCTGTCAAACATCTATCATCTTGATCTCTCCTTCTCCTTTTTTTTTTTTTTTTTTTTTTGGGGGGGGGGTCCTTTTTACCCTCTTTTAATGTACAGAATAGTGGGAAGAAGAAGCTAGCCCAGGATATAGAATGGTGGAAGGTGTTTGTCCGTGGCCTATACCCTGGTGCAGGGTGAAAAAGGCAATGATGATGACCCTCTTTTAATACCTCTAATCTTCGGCACTTATATTAACTTACCGTGTTGCAAGTGCCGTAAAACTCTTCTTAAGATAAATAAATAAATAACGTAAAATAAACATTTACAAATAAATAAATAAAGTTGTACCTGTAGACAGGCCCAGAGACCGTTGGACAGGCCTATGGTTTTGTTACTCTCGAGAAGCTATTGTTCCCCTTTTCGCTCGCCATGGGGGTTTGTGAGGGATCAAGACACGGGAGTAATTCCAAGATAATTATCTGGAGTGTAGGCTACAGTTAAGCCGTGTCACTGGAAAGCAATCAATCAGGTCTCAGAGGCATTACAAACATTTTAAAAGTCCCTTTTTTTCACCCCAGATCTATAAGCTTTTGTCTTTTCTGTGTTTGGAAAGTTATTGCTCCATTTTGTTTCGGAAATATAATTCAGTTACACAGTTTTGTTGTTGTTGTTGTTGTTGTTGTTGTTGTTGTTGTTGTTGTTGTTGTTGTTGTTGTTTCTTTTGGGTTGTTGTTGTTGTAATGTAGGTGCTTTTCACACCCCCATTCGACCCATATATCATTTAGGAGGTGGGCTTTAACCAACCCGGGCAGGGAGAAATACAATTTCCCAGCAGAAAGAACGAGATACTTTATCAGATTTCTCCTCACACGCGAATCGAACCCCGGTCTTCTGTGTGCGACGGCGATGTGTCTAATAGTTAGACAAAGAGGTTATGATAGTAGGCTACTATAATGCTTTTATTTATAACCTCTTTGAGTTAGACCATAGACGCGCTTGAGCTATGTTATATTCGTCAATGAAGAGTAAATTACTTATTTAGTTTGCAATAACATGGGTTTAATTAATGCTCCTTTCAGAACTGTGGGCTATTAACAGTAGGAACGCATAGCCCCTGGCAACGAAAGGGTTCATGGGACCTTCGAATTTATAGCACATCTAGGCCAATGGCCGAACCAAGTTAGGCGGAGAGCTTTCAAAACTCACCAAACAACCTAAGTCTTACATTTAGAAAGCCCCAGTGCTGGAATTTGAACCACGGCCATCTACATCCTAGCCAAGCGTGACACGAACTGAGTGTAAAATACTACAATGTACTTATAAAAAGTAGTTTGAAATGTCTGAAATGTGATGCTGAATAAGTTCAACACTCTTCATGAATAAAGACGAATTCGTTTTAATCCAATTCAGCCATACGTTTTTCTTCTTGCCATACTAGACAATTTTCCCACCCTCGCTCACTCACCTTCACAGTCAAAACCTGTACTGTACCCCCTCCCCCCCCCCCCCTCCTCCCTTAAAGTTGAGAGTTTGTCCCCGTACCGTTTTCACGTTAATTCGGTTATAATATATATAATATATATTATTGTGTGTTATGCTATTCTCTGAGCTCCTTCGTTCTTTGTTCTTTGAAAGCGTGTCTGTTATTGATCGAAAAACCCGAACACACTGTGTCAACGCAACACGAGGCGTCCATTGTCTGAGGTTTTTAACGGTCGCTTGTTCGAACTGTGGGGCTGCACAATACGATGATGTGTTATAAAGATTTGCTCCTTGAGAAAGGTTTTGGCAGACAGACAAGCTGTAAACTATATGAGTGTGTGTGTGTGTGTGTGTGTGTGTGTGTGTGTGTGTGTGTGTGTGTGTAATACGTGTATATGCTCATACATGTGTGCACATGACATAAGATTGAGAGTCAGAAGAGAGACAGACTGAATGAGAGAGAATGTGGGAAAAGGGGGGTGGGGTGGTTATGTGATAATTGTAAATGATTCTTAATGTTTTACGTCTCCATCAACAGCAACTTGGGTTATTAATAACAACTCTATCAGTTGCTGATGTTTTTTCAACAGGGATTTCTTTGTCGTATGATCGATAGATCGTCCAGGTTTTGTACAACTTATCGTTACGTGTAACCGGGCCTTTACTCTAAACGGCCATCTTTTCAGCTTACATCTTTCAAATCATTCCATGAGTTCAGAAAGAGAATACTATAGTTCAGATTTCAGTGTGTTTGGGGAAAATATTATGCTAAGTGAACGCATGTTTTGAGAACCATTAGTGCAAAAATGTGTTCACTTTAACTATAAAATTAAAAGTGTCACTGGTCAGCTGTGACGTAGGCCTGAGCAAAATGAGTCTGAGAAGCGGGAAGTGCTGTGAACACTCACATTTTCGGCATGGCAGAGATTGATAGATTTAGTATTTTGTATGGATTTATGAAGAAAAGTTTTCAAAAAATTTAGATCTGGCCTCAATTGTTGTTGGGAAATAATATGATTAAGTTAAGACAAATCGATTCAAATTGCTGTGAAATATATGGGTGACTCTGATTCACCCGTAAAAGAGATACAGTAGAACACAGCTATAGCGGGACTTTTGGTTCCTGAAGAAAAATCCCGCTGTAGGCGAGTTCGTGCTGTAGGAATGCAAAGGGGAAATTACCGAAAATTTTCTTTAAATCCACATGATATCCTCCCTTCCATATATATCAATAAAATTTGCCCATTAGTCTTCCTTCTCTTGTCAACTTCGTTAATTAATCTCGGCCTTTAATTCGAGAGAGAAGCATTTCCCTTTGTCCTTGTTGGAAGCCATCTTTTCCTCGGTCTCGTTGCTTATGCTGTCAATTGCACCGTTCGGCCTACTGTAGAACTGGTGAAGTGGATGTGTGCGTATGCCTATGAGCATCAACGATCGCAATTCAAGGAAACAGGAATCACACACTATACGCTCTCCTCTTCCTTTACTTTATGGTCTTGTCTAGGCTTAGGGATATAGCCTATGCGTTCTCATACTAAGCGTCTAAGTTACTGCACATCACTTTTGGAGTGGCTCACGTAACGCATCTCTCCGCATTCCGCACCATCTCTCTCTGCCGCCTGCCCCACCTCACTCATCTCTGGACTTGCCAATCACAACGCCGCACCGCTGACTGCCAGTTAGAAGCCTGCCTAGATGTTCTCAGAAACCCATGTACGCGTCCAATTCAGCCTTATTTTTTAAATATATAGCCCAAGTCTGTTCCAGTCTTCCATCCAACTCCACGTCCTTGATTTAAACATTTTAAAAATGAGTTTTTCGGTTTGAAAAAAATATTTTAGATTGTTTGTTGCTTTTGGCTTTTGTTCTTTTGTTTTGTTTTTTATTTATTAGTTTGTTTGTTTTGGGGTTGTGGTTTTATTTTATTTCAATGTGAGTACCTTACGCTGACATTTTCGAGGACCCTTTTGGTCGAAAGGGAACCTTTATGTTAATGTACAGACACTGGTTTAACCCGGCCAGGCCCGGTCCTGACAGTAGCGACAAGCAAGGTCGAAGCAACCTAGCTGACTCCTAAACCGAGCAGTTATGTCGATACTGTCGTAAAGGTTCACGGTGCTATATATAGCTACAGCTTTCTTTGTTTCCTTTGTTTGTTGGGTTTTTGCTTTTTCGGTAATACCAGAGAGTAATACTTTGTTCTATATTTACTTTGAAAGTAAATCTAGCACTAGTTTACACCTCTTTTTTTTAGCCTAGCAGCGGTGATGTAATGGTTTCATTCTCCGCATTTGACTTAGAAGACGTGA